TATTGTAATAAAATCAATGAAATAATAAAGATAAATTAATGTAACCATGAAAGCAATAAATGTTAAGTATGCATTAAACAATACTATTTAACTAAATTTTTTTAAATCTCTCAGTTTAGTAAATGCCAGTATAAAAAATCAGAAAAAGTTTATGTATTGTTTACAAAAAAACAGAAGAATATGAGAAAATTTATCATTGAAATTTTGTTACTGTGAAAGGGTTAGCAGAATGTTTACAGAATAATCTAGGTTTTGTTTTCAGATTTTTAAATGCCTTCACAATTTTTCATTTCTTTCAAGTAAATTTTTAAATAATTTCTTAATAAATTTTAATTTTGAACTATTTCTTTTGTCTTCCTGGTGCTTTTAAATTTTGAAGAATGAGTTTTTATCCATTTATATAAAATGTAACTCAACAAAGAGATGTCCTCACCTCTGAGCCATTCCTAAACTGTAAGGTAATTTAATGCAAATGCTTATCTGAAAATAATATAGCAATATGAAATGCAAGAATTACACCCATATTCCTAGAAAACTATTGCAATACATGTTTTAGTTTGTCCCCATTTTCATCTTCTATTTGTGAATTTGCTACGCATTTGTAACTATAGTAAGCATATAAATTGTCTTTAACTTTATTTTGCTTATTTATTAAACTCAGTTCCACATTGGTACATCATCTTCATGTTTGTACACCTTTATTCTCAACCTGACGTGACATTAAACCTAAAATATGCAGGCGCAGAGCCTTAATAAAGGTGACAATGTGCTTCACTATTTCTAGTAATACCAAAAGGCAGCCATCTGGATCACAACTTCTTGAATCCAGTGCCTGAGCTTGGCGGTGATTCAGTTTTTCTTTGGAGCAGCTTAAGTGCTAGAATGACTGAATATAATTCAATCAGATTAAATGCTGTTACAAAGGAGCTGGCATTCCTCAGAGTGAAAATCAGATCTGCACCCTTATTATTTTTTACTACAATTATTACAAGGGCTAATTTTTCTGCTTCTAGTCTTTGCCATCTGCAATGCATTGTGTGCCCTGCTGCCAGAGGAATATGTAAACACAATCTGGTCTTCCTTGTGATTAACAATATTTGAAGTACTTCATGTTGACTGCAGGCTAACGTCCAAATTCCTTAGAATCGTTTTCAAGATTCTTCATGATCTGTTCTCAACATGCAGACTCATTGATAAAGACTTCCTTAATTCTATCAGACAAAGTTAGTCACACTTCCTTCAGGCTCTCAATGTCTATGTGTCATCTATTATATCACTTGTCTCATTTGAGTCTAATCATTTTATATATCTACTCACTGGTCTGTGAACCCTTAAGGGAAGAAATTGAAATTTATTCATCTTTGTATCCTAAATGTCTGAGAGACATTGTATCCTAAATGTCTGAGAGACTGTCCCCCTCATGCAGTTCCTGTCTTTCCTAGTTCCACATCTTCTTCCATAGAGAATTTTACAACTGAAATAATACAGTTTAAACAACAATGACCATAATAATGACAGTATTTATTAAACCCTTGCTATTATTCAATGTGATGCTGTATGAAATAATTTTACATAGATGACCCAATTAAATTCTCCTTAGCACATTATGAAGAGGTTTTTTTTTTTTTCTCCCCCATTATCCTGTGTGAGAAAATTAATCTTATTGAGGGTAAATAACTTGCCCATTGTCACACAGGCAGAAAGTGGCAAAGCTATCATTTGAACCTAGATAGTCTGATATATAAAGTGTGATGTGACTTTTCATCAGGCATGAAATAGTAAGGAGTTTTTAATGTAGTCTAATTGAAAAATAAGTTACAGATATCAATGTAAAAAGGTAACGTTACTACTAATAGTCGACTAACTAGGATGAGGTCATTTTTATATATCCACTGCAAAATCCTGATAGTTGTATTTCATAGGCCTAGAAATGACTCTGAATGCCAGTAATAATTCAAAAGCTGAAAGAAATAATGAAATTCATGTGTAATAATTGTTTTTTAAAAACTTATTTAAAAGTATCTCCAGGTATAACAAACTGCAAGCTTTCTAACTCCACAAAAAAAAGAATGTTGCCTATTGGACTAGCACATTGATCAATGTGAATCTTGACTAGCACATTGATTCAAGAGACTGTTCCCACCAAATGATTTATAACTTATTTGCCTCTGTCTCTGTTTGGGTTCCTCTAGAATCAGACCCTGAAACAAAAATTTGACTTTATAAGTGTTTAAGAGGTAGTAACAGAATGTAGAGTGGTGCAGTGGGAGGAAACGGAAAAAGTTCAACAGAAAAGGGAAAGTGGCCAATAAAAGTCAAACTGCTGATCACTGTGGGCAACTGAGGGGTAATCCTGCTCGGAAACTATGGGAGACAATGTAGACCACCCCTAGGCTTATCCCACCATGTGACTATTTCTTCTCTAACTTCCATTATTCATTGGTTGATACTTGGGCTAGGGGCATTAATTTCTCCCAGAACTTCTGATCTGCCCTTTGTGCAGAGATGAGAAAAGTACTCATGTTGTCATATTGCTATCTGCAGGGATGTATAATAGGACCCTCTTGGCTTATACTGGAATAGTGAGTGCTAAGGAGACGTTGATACACCAGCTTCATCTACTACAGCCTATCTTTCATGAGCCTCTTCTTTCAGCAAAATAGATTTTTACCTTGAGCTACACACACACACACACACACACACACATAGATAGACAGACATATAAATTGACAGATAGGTGTGTATATGATATATGAAAGCTATGTTCCAACTGGATGTCGTTTTGACATCTCAACGGTACATGGTCAAACTTGAATTCATTATCATTACTCTCAATCCTTGAAACCCTCAGTGCATCCCTCACATAGGCTCCTGTCATTCTGTATTTCATCGGATCAGTTTCCCATGTCCAAAACATGAGTCCTCTTTAATCATTTCTCTTAGGTACCAAGTCATGTCAGTTCTCTTCCTACATACAACTTGAACCTGTCCTCTGAAGGCCACCTTCAATTCTCACTTGAATTTCTATAACATTTTCCAAAGTGTCTTATGGGCCTCTCTCAAATAATTGTATAGCACTCTATTAAACTTCTACACTATCCATTTCATTTTAAAATTGTAACTATTTGTCATTCTGTATCTCTGATTATATAATAAATAACTTGAAGTTAAGACCTAGATTTTGTTCATTGTTTTATCTCAACTTTGGAGCCTGGCCTATATCAAACCTTCAGTAAATTATTGTGACATGAATGAATTGAATGAATGAATGAATGAATGAGTAGAATGGATCCTTTTATATTTCATGTGTGGTAGTAATTTGATAGTAATTTGAGCTCAGGCAGATAGAAATTATCAAAAACATTATGAAAGAGAAAGCCCTTGTCACACATGATTAGTCTTGCATTCTTTTGTGTCTACTCTTTCTCTGATTGGATTGTATATGACTGAGAAGTCATGAGCCTATTGATTTTTGTTTTGATTTTAAGACAGTCTCGCTCTGTCACTCAAGCTGGAGTGTGCAGTGGTGCAATCTCATCTCACTGCCTTTGCCTTCCAGGTTCAAGGGATTCTTTTGCCTCAGCCACCAGAGTAACTAGGATGACAGAGTGTGCCACTACACCTGGCTAATATTTGTATTTTTCATAGAAATTGGGTTTTGCTATGTTGCTCAGGCTGGTCTTGAACTCCTGGACTCAAGCGATCCTCCCATCTCACCTCCCAAAGTGCTGGGATTTACAGTCATGAGCCAGTGTGCTCAGCCCCTATTGATGGGTTATAGGATATTACTCTGAATGCAATTCCTGTTTGATTAATAGGCAAGTGGTATGTGCAGTAGCTTGTCTTAATGTTTAAAAAACCATTTGCTTCATTGGGAATATCACCTTCATTCTAAGAACATTGTGAGGTGTGATAGTTCTCACAAGTAGATGCAACAACCTGAATATTGATATAACAAAGCACAATTAGTTGGGCTTATTGGCTTTGTTCAGAAGAATCGATGGCTCTGTATAATTATGACCAGGTATGCTGAATTTCATTAACACTGTTTTCCAGATCTGTGAAATATAAGCGAAAACATCTGTCTCACTACACCTGGAAATTACTGACAGATCCTTTTCATATTATATATATTTTTGACATTTAAGTTGTTCTAAAATGAATTATTTTATATTTTTACAGCACTTTTATGCCCATATTATGGTATAATTTTGATGGGTTTTCAAACACTTTTCATTGTCTGAAAATGTCAAAATCTACCTACGTGTTTAATAAATATTGTTAGAAATAATTATTAGATTAAATAGTGAATAAAGGGATAAAATTTTAAAACAATTATTTTTCATTTTCTCAGATGCTTCTAAAAGATGAAAAAAGAAGTTGAGATTTTATTTTAGAGTTTTCACTAGGAATGTGATAACGTCTTGAATTGGATCTTAATGTAATCTTATTATGTAGTTGTGCTCAGTTAACAGTTATTTCAATTAAATTTTCATTTATTCTGTTTAGAGGCTATGGTTGTTTTTCCCTTCAGGCTTTAAATACTGTCCAGCCATTGAAACACTCCATGACTAAAACTGACTAATTAAACATAAATAATACAGTAGTTAAATTTTTAACTCTCTTCAGGAAATCCATCTAAGCCTTAATTATGTGCTCCATGGAAACAGTTTTAATGCATATTATTTATCCTTATTTCTATAATATAACAATAGGAAAAATGTATGTCAACAAGAATACATTTCAACACACTGACATATTTGAAACCGTGATACCAAAGAGGATAAAACAGTTGTTTCATTAAGAGTGAGTGTAAAAAGAGATCATTAATTCAGGCCATGAAGGAGCAGGATAAAAATTATGCTGCGCAAATGCTGGTTGGAAAGTTTTAGACCAAGTAGTGTTTCCACAATTGTCTGAAAACACAATGAATAAACAACAGAATAAGATCTACAAGAGTTTTGCAGCCAATACACCATTTCTTTTCTCTTCATCTCCAGCTGTAAGCACAAGATGTATCTGGAAAGGCTGCCAAACACCAGCATCATTATCCCATTTCATAATGAAGGTTGGACTTCACTCCTGAGGACCATACACAGTATAATTAACCGCACCCCGGAGAGTCTGATAGCAGAAATCATTCTAGTAGATGACTTCAGTGAGAGAGGTAAGATACAGTTGATAACATTTTATCTGATTCTGCTTCCATTAACATAGTCATTAACAGCTTTTTAAAAAAAGATAATGAGAGCTTCTTTCTGATTCCATCTGAAAGGTGATTATGAAGTTTTATCAATGTTGTGATTTCATAAAATATTGCCAAATGCAAAAGAAACTTAATGAGAAGCTATAGGTATTATTTGGGAATCTATAAGAAATTTGCATTACAGTCTCTGTTGCAAATTAGATAGGGATTGGCAAAATGCCTCAAATTCTACTTTCAGTTTCAGGGCAAACACTGCAAAATATATTATTGTAAGTACATATGAATGGTGAAATATTTGAGTTAGAACTACAAAATCTGTTTCTATTTCTGAAAAGTATCTACTCTATTATTTACCAGTATGACACATAACTCCAAGCTGTGCTTGTGTTATTTCATAAGTATGAGAAATTATAAGAGATGCAGGTACATATTTTCACTTGGTAATTCTGGCTATTTTATCTATTTGAACAACAACAGAAACAATCTAATGTAATGGCATATTGCCAAATTTAACAAACGTTTTAATATTTTTATAAATTTATATTTACCTTATACAATTTTTATAATGTACCCTCTGGTGTATACATATGATATAAGGTAGATTTTATAATTTGCTTTATATTTAATGCATGAAGGAGCAGCACTTTACTGTATATCTGTTAGAAAGAATGACAGTAAAATATTTTGATCAAATATTATTCTTATGCCGCAGAAGAGAATACAGCTTGAGATCACATGGGACAATTAAGATTTGGAAGTTTAAATTGAAGCTAATTTGAAGTTTTGGAATTTATTTGTCGTAAAACATCAGTTTTTTTCATAGTATTCAAAAATTCTGCAAACAACAGACTGTTTAGTGCGCTAATTTTGAAACTTCTTTGACAGAGATGGTGTTTAAAAATAGTTTTATGTACTCCATTTAAATACTGATTCAGGGGTCACCTAATATCAATAGGTACTTGGACTTATATGACGAATGAGGTTGTTTGACACGACACTATTAATATGTAGTTATAGTCATTTAGGCTTGATTTTAAAGAGGTTTTTGTCTCGTGTTGCTTAGGTTGCATGCATTTAATCCTAAATACTAAGAGCCAGTGTCTGAAACTGAAACTTTCAGAGAATTAAAAATAATTTAAATATGATGTTCATTTCTTTTTATTCTAATTGAGGCTACTATTTCAAAGCAGTCATTATGACCTCAGGCTAAAAATAGGTACTTAATGTGTTAATAAAGCGTTGATTTCAAAAAGTGAAAAAGGAGATAAAGATCTGAGGTTGTAGATTGCCAAATGAATGGTCTTTGTGACTGACTGGTACTAGGAGAAATAGGCCAGTGTAACTTTTGATTATCTTGGTAAACGATTTATTACAGTAGAATTTTGACCTGGGGGGTAATAGAGTGAGAAGCACTTGGTAGCAGAAAATTATGGTTCGTAGAACATTTCTTGTTAAATATTTCTCAGAGGTATTTTTCAGTTGAAAGCCTTTAAAAAGGTTGAAAATACTAGCACCTACATTTTCTTAACTCCAAATCACTGTCACCTTTGGTACAGTGGAAATTTTGGTGGACTATGTTTCTGCATGTCCTGTTAGTTGGAAAGAAAGAAGACTATCAATGTAATTAGTGTTAGTGAAGGCGGATAACAGAAAATGGATAATTTAGAAACAATAATGGTGACTTTTGAATTCCTTAATGAACATTTCTAAGGATAATTGTTAATTTAATACTTACGTGAAACTTTCATTGAGATATTCTATTCTTATGAGCCATCAAGTTGAAAGTTTTAATTTTGTAATTAAATGCAAAAGTAAATCCTGAAAGAAATAGGTAATAAAATACTTCTGTAATATTTTATGTCATATTTTTAATTATATAAAAGAGGAAATGCTCTTCTTCTAAATTTTTGCTTTGATTATGAAAATCTCATCTGAGAGTGTTGGTTGATGTATATTAGCACCTGAGTGGATATAGGAGCTTCACTCCCGCTTTCTGAATTATAAGCAATATAAAGAATGAACATAATGAGCACAAGTCAGAATCCCAACACCAACTACTATCTGTATGATACTTGGTAAATTAACTTTATCTGAGCGTCTCTGTTTATCAAAATGAAAATGAGAGTGACTCTTCATGGAGCGGTTATGATGGGGCGCTGTAATGGATGGTTGAGTGAATTGCGTGTACATGGGAAAGTGATTGCTCTCTCAGCTATTGATTTCTACTCATCAAATATTCCCTACTACTGTAGTATAAACAGTCTATACCTTTTGTAGAAGAGAGTATGTTAATTTAATCAAATATAATCCACAATAACCTATCTGTCTATTCATTTGTCTATCTATCTATCTATCTATCTCCAGAATCAACAAAAGAATTCATTTAGTAGCCACTTAAGGAGTAATCATGGCAATTTACATTTGGAGAAATTAGGACTGCTTTAACATTTAAAAAAAAATCTCCCTTATGGCCAATAAGCTACTACAAGCATGGAAGTAAAATAAAAATCTGAGAATTTAATCAATAAGGAGATTATGTTCTCTATCAAAATTATGTGCATGGCCTTAGAAGAGTATTTAGCAGAATCCTTTGCAAGATTGTTTTTACTATTCCAAGACAAGGAAGCTACCCCAAGGCATCAGTTATTTACAGGGCATCTTTTTCTATTCCTTTTTATTCTGATACATCTACAGTTGTGCTGTTAAAAGCTATAATTAACTTATACTTTTCTTAGAAAATTCCTCAAAACTATAACCCTATAGTGTGTAGAGTTCTTTCCAGCAATTCCTTCAAAATCAGATTAAGTAGGCTAGATAAATTTTGAAGTACAGAAAGATATAGGAATTTTGTTGGCTTCCTGTAGGAAGTTATTTTTTTGTTTTGTTTTACATTTTAAATTTATTTTTAGAAATAGATCTCGATTTCAGTTCTGTCCAGTATGCAGCTTAACACCTTCTCACTATTACCTTTTTCAGAGATTCTGCAAGATCCTTTGGCCAAAATCACTAAACTTTAACAAGACTTAATAAAATATCACTGCCTTATATTTTACATCCTCCAGGTCAATAGAATAGCTATACATAACCAAAAATATAGGAAAGCCAGTATTTCAGACACGTCATTAGCATGAGTCACTGGCTAATTATTTGGAATTCATATTTACAACAAATACAAGTATATAGTAATTGGCCAATTCAGTAATAGTGGGTTTCATATCAATACAGTAAAATACTAAAATATTAGATAATTATAGAATAATTCTAAACTATTACCAAGTGATTTTGAAAAATCTACTTAAATAAGATTGACCCAGTTCTCAAAATGCTTTAAAAAGAAAAGCGAATATTCCATCTCGCAGTTCTCAGTTTAGATATTTTTCCTAAAGCAAGCTTGGTAACAGAATGTTGTTTTAGCCTCAGAACGTAAGTCCACCATCTATAACAACATGAAGGTAAAGGCCTGCAGGTAAGTTTTCAACAACTACCACTGTGTTTTGCTATCTGAAGCTTACCAAAGTTAGTGAATGTGGCTATGTTTTTTTCCAGTAAGCTCTGAGAAATACATTTAACAACTTAACTTGAGGCCTATAACAAGGCTTCATGGTGACATTAAAGCAGGACTAATCCTGGGCTTATCTCCAAATTCCAGGCACCCTTAACAGCATCCACATGGAAAATGTTGAAATGTGTGAAATAAGCCGGGGCTTAACCTCAGAGATAGGGTATATTTGAACCTGACAATTCTCTGAACTTTGCATGCTTAGATGAATGCAAGTCTAAATTGAGGATAGTTGCAGGAGAGTTGCTGACACACTTTCTTTAATGCAAATATGGAGGCACTACTGTATACCCGAGTACACACACACAAACGCAGGCACACATACACACTCTCATTCATTTCTGCCCCTGCTTGTTTAAAACTTTGTAGGCAGAAAACATAAGTAGTTGAATATTTGAGTTTCAGAAAGATCTATTATCCTCCTTGTACTCATTAGAGGGAAAAATAGGTTTGAAACTATCCTTCCAATGCCAACAACTTTAAAGAAATCCAACTTATTTTTCCTTAGATAGCCCAGACTCTGACTATCCAAAGTGTGGTGCACAGACCAGCAGCAGCATTTTGAAACTTGCTAGAAATGCAGGCTCTCAGACCTCACCAGATGAATCAGAATCTGCATTTCAACAAGATCTATGTGTACTTTCCGTAGAAATTAAAGTTTGAAAATCACTATCATGCATTTTAAAATTGGGGTGGAATGGCCAGGCATAGTGGTTCACACCTGTAATCCCAGCAGTTTGGGAAGCTGAGATAGGATAATCACTTGAACCCAAGAGGTGAACATTGCAATGAGCCAAGATCGTGCCACTGCATTCCAGCTTGGGTGTCAGAGTGAAACTGTCTCAGAAAGATAAATTAAAATAAAATAAAATTGGAGTTTAAGTTTCAGTGACTAATATGCATCCAATAAGTAATTTCTTTTTTATTTTTATTTTACTTTAGGTTCTGGGATACGTGTGCAGGTCATGCAGGGTTGTTGCATAGGTGCATACATAACCAGGTGGTTTGCTGCCTGTATTCCCCCTTTGACTATAACTTGCGTTTCTCCCCATGTTATCCCTTCCCGCCTCCTGCTGTCCCACCCCTAGCATCCCCCCAACTGTCCCCAGTGTATGATGCTTCTCTCCCTGTGTCCATGTGTTCTCATTGTTCAACACCTGCCTATGAGAGAGAACATGCAGTGTTTGGATTTCTGTTCTTGTGTCAGTTTGCTGAGAATGATAGTTTCCAGATTCATCTAAGTCCCTACAAAGGATGTGAACTCACCATTTTTTATGGTTGCATAGTATTCCATGGTGTATATGTGCCACATTTTGTTTGTCCAGTCTATCATCGATGGGCATTTGGGTTGGTTCCAGGTCTTTGTTATTGTACACAGGGCTGCAATAAGTAATCTCAAAAA